TGAAATGCTTCATAAATTTTAAAAATTCGCTTTGTTGCATTCATTCGGATTCATTAGCAAAACCAACAGCATTTGGAGTAGCATTGTCAATAAAATATGCTTGCATATTATTTCTTGGGAATAAGAAAAATGTGGTATAAAACTACCAAAGCCATTGACAGCAAGTGCCATTGTAAGCATGGAACCCAACTTTGCTGGGTACAGTCGAAAACAAAGTTTCATCCATATTGTAGATGGAGGCGTGATTGAAATGTGTCTTGTTAAACACATTTTGTAAATTGGTGAAAAATATTTCGACATTATCACGACACAATCCTTTAACTCGATTTAGGCTCGTTTGCTCAGGGGCTTGGAGTGAGAGGTTTGTATGGCGCTTCATGAATGCATGGTACCATTGTCAGAATCTTTATAGTTAATATTATTAAATTAAAAAGAAGACTTGATATAGTAAGTGCCCAATTGATTTAGTTGAAATTACCTTTTCTACTACTTATATTCCAAGCACGGTCTGAATTATTAACTTTATGTTTAAAGTCAATCCTAAAGTTATGCCGTCTAGGCGTTGTTATAGATGCCAAATGTTTCGACATACTTTTGAGCATAATCGCTCTACTCATCCAATCTGTGAGTACTGTTCAGAGTGGCATGAGTCAGATCAATGTCGGGTTCGCAACCCCAATCCTAAATGCAATAACTGTAAGGGTGATCATTTTGCTTCTTCAAATCAGTGTCCTAAGTTCAATTATAAATTTCAAGTTGCTAGAGTGAGCTATCTATGACATCTAAATTTTCTTGATGCGGAATTTTGGTTATCTAAAAAGGAAATTTACCCTCCTATCTAGACACAATAATTCTATTTCACATCGTTAGCATACAGATAGCCCTAATAAAATGCAGAAAAGTCTTCCTGAATTGCTGAGATCTTAATTACCACTTAACACTGTTGCTATCAGTCCTCCACTTTCTAAACAAAAGAAAGAAGGATTTAAGGATTTTTCCAATAAATAAACACTAAACGCTCACCCTGAAGCTCCTCCAGCACAAAGTCTGCGCAATGAGCTTCAATATGTGCTCTCAGGTATTCTTAGCCAGCTTCCTGAAAGACCAAATTTAGTAAAAGCCATTTAGCGTAAACGTCTGAAGAATATACCAATGAACCCATGAAGACCTAGACGATATTCCTGATGATTATAAGCGTACATGGTAAACTAGCTCGTGGAAGACGTCGAACAACGCAGCTGAGGTTCGAAAGGAGTAATCAGATACCGAGACTATGCTTAAAGAGTTAGATATCGGCCGAAAGATCAGGAGGCTAGAAAACATGTCTCGATTAAAATTTGAAAAAAGATTAAACAATGTGGTACAAAGCTATGAAGAGAAAAAGGATAACGGCGAAATTGAGGAGTATCTTCGAGTCATCGGACATAATATAAAATTTTGAAAAATTGTTATATTATTTAATTACTTACAATTCTAATAATCTAATCACCAGTATTTTAGATTTGGTCATAATTACTCCAGCTTTTGCCAACATGGCAGAGATTATTGTTAATGATGAACGATATGGATCAGATCACTTTCCTGTTTTATTGGGTCTTTATCTTGCTCTATCTAGTATCAAATATAGTGGTTGTAGATTTAATACCACCGATATCAACTGGGATGAATTTAGGACTAGATTTGACTTCTATATCCCTGATATTGAAAACAAGTTAAATTATTAATTAATACTCTACTCACTAAAGATACATATGACGATTTTATGAAAGCTATCATTTCTACCCTTGAATCTTCTGGTGCTACCCGCTCTACTGTAAAATCCAATCTACCTGGTGGAATCAATCATGTAAGGATGCAATTAGTAGACGAAGAGAAGCACTTAAAAACTACCTCCATAACAAAACAGCAGAAACTTTGGCTGAATATTGTAGAATTAATGAAGATGTCAAGAAAACACTTAGAAAATATTAAACGATTTATTCCGTAATTTTTGAAGTTCAATAGACTGCTCTATGTGAAGGGAAGGTATTTGGAGTGTTATTAGAGCCTTCAATTCTCGTAATCTTGCTAAATCAACCCAAGTTTTTAATGATCTTAATTGACCTGAATTAATAAATCTTCAAAATGAACTTTCTCGACCTGATATCTCTTCTGTTAACATCCCTTATGCTGATGATACCAACATGGAAAATGCAATAAATCAACCCTTTTCTTGAATTGGTTCTCACATATATATCGCATATTGTTCTGCAAGAAATGAAAGCTCTCAACATATTTAAAACCTTAGCCAAAGTTTATTGGGGTTCATCTCCTATCATGATGCTAACTAGTTATAGAGAACTCATCAGATCATATCTAAAATTCTGAAGCCAGTAGAAAGGAATTATCTAGACTTGATCGAGTTCAATTTGCAGCTTTGCGCTGCATGTCCACCACTCCAAGATACTTCCTTTTGTCCGAAAGCACTGCCTCCTCTTTCAAATTTGCCAAAGACCAAAAATGTATCTGTGAAGATCGTAAACCTATCTACGATTAATATCACCTATTTATTGAATGTAAAGCTCTTTCCGATTTCAGAAAAAAGTTTTTTAATTGTGCCGACGATGAGGAAATGATGAGAACTGCTTGTATGAATCCACTAAATGATAGGAAGTCTTATTCAATCAAAACAATGGTTAACTCTCTGCCTACGCTGACTTATCCCCACTCTAGCGCTTTTCAATGTAATTCCCATAGTTCCCACCAGGCTATCGAATTGTCGTTTTTTGTCGTTAACGGTCACTTGCGTAGGCAGAGGGTTAAGCTTATCATAGAGGTACTAAACTGTAATTACTTTTAAAATTTTGATTTGTGAAATATCTATTTTGTGTTATCTCAGTGATGTATCAAACTCCTTTGTGTGGATTTAAGAAATCATTGACAAACAAATAAATAATAATGACAAAAAAAAGAACTAAGGATTCAGTGAAATCACAAAACTTGGAATATCGTTAACAAATTGGCATTAAGGGGGAGTCTGGTCAAGCCAGACTCCCAAACACCAAAGTGGTTATTAACTAAATTTTTTTTATATAAAAAGGAACATATTGAGAAGAAAATTTAAACAAAAAAAATTGTTTAAATTTCTCATTTACAAATAAGAGCATTACTTTGTATATATCGATTTGTTTTTTTATGTATAGGTGCATATACTAACCTTAATATGCACCTGCTGTTGAAAAAGGTAAATTAATAACACATCTTTTTTAATAATAAATATAAATGTAAAATATTTGTAAAAAATTAAGTGGGGGGTAGAAAGGTTAATTTGGTGAAAAAATGCATATTTTTATAAATGTTTGGCGATTTAGAGAGATAGTTAATTTATTATATCAATTTTTAAGTAATACTGCAACACTGAGAAATAAGAAGGTTAAATATAACCAAGTTTTACTTAAAAACAACCGAGCGATGCTGCTAATATAGCACTTGCAATGTAAATTAATTGCAGCAACTGATCATATACGATCATTTACGCTGTAACTCGCAACAGAATCATTTAAAATAACAAAATCAAAGTGCATTTGTTAAAGATGTTTTTTGAGGTTACCCTAGGAGGATTTTTATTTTGTTTTACTCTTCAAGTTTTCGTATCACTTGGAAGCCAAAAACACGTTTTTCTATCAAAAATAGGCTAATTTGTTATTGTAAAATGAGTAATTTTCAAAAAAAGAAAAAGCTCCCAGGGATACCTGAAGAATTATGTCAAGAAGTACTGTACCAAATTTCAGAACGATTGATCCAGTAGATTTTAAGTTATGATGTACACGGACTTCAAAAACAAGTTTCAGAAAATCGCTTCTACCTTTATGGATCAGATACCCAATACTTGAAGTTTGGCATTATTTTTACACGTTAAAACGCTATGTATTTAAAAAATTTGGCTATGAGCATTTCTTATGTCTCAGGAATCACTCTTTCAAATGATGTATCGAAAAATATTGCAAATTTAAATTTTAATTGGTTTTCGTTGTTATATATTAGACTCCCTGAAGAGGAAATCCGTGGATTTCGAAACGTTGAAGTAAAATTAAAGAAATCTTTGTCTGAATGTCTTCGTTTTTTCTGTCTTATTGTTTAAACTACTCGGACGTTTAAGAATTTATTATAATTGTTCAATCAAATATTTTAATAATAAATAAAACCACTCGGACGTTAAAGAATTTACTACAATTTTTTAAACAAATTTTTTAATATTTTTTTTACTAATTCCTACAAGTTTTTTTTAGACAACTGTTTTAAAATTATAAACAATTTAAAAAATAGGCTGCTTTTTTAAACAAAAGACGATAACTTTCTTAAAAATTATTGTACAATTAATTGTAAAACAGCATTTGAAAGGAGACAAAATGACTTTTAAAATAACTATTATCGCTCCTAAATTTTCTCAACGGATTTTGGTTTCTTATAGTTTTAGTTGTATGATGAAATTTTTTTAAAAATTTTAAAAGACGTAGAACATTAAAAAAAATAAATTGTTTATAAACAATTTATTAATAATTATTAAAAAATAAACTTTTTAAAAATTTTCTAATTCTAAACGAAAGTATATTTTATCCCCTTTGCATTTCCGCTTGGTTCGTTTAAATCGGTTTATTCATTTAAGAGAAATAAAATTTTGTTTAAAAAGTTGAAAAAAAATTCATTTTGGAATAACTTTTATAAAAAAAAAAATTTTTCTGTCTTTTGGTAGACTCATTCCTAAGGCCAAATAGTAATGTTTTTTCAACATTTCTCGATTTAAAAACAATACTTTTTATTTTTTGTGAAAATTTCACGAATTCTGACCCTTTATACCAATGTAAATTATTTTTTTCCTTATTTACAACGTTTTTCACTCGACAATTTTAAAACTTTCGATAAATAAAACTCTCAATAATTTGAACTTTTTTTTTAATCCCCTTGAGATTCAATTTATCGAGAGTCGACCCGTATAAGGATATATAAAATAATTTACTTACTGTTGGTGTTACTGGTACTGGAGGCTTATATCCATAAAGATGTAAAATTTCATCATTATCTCTATTATTAATTTGTAAGGATTTATTGCTAAAAAATATTTTTGTCAAATAATCTCAGATAGCACGTTTTTTCTATAATTATAGTGTTTGTCCGGAGAGAAATATGTTAATTGTTTGAATCTGAAAAAGCCAAGTAAAATAAATTTCGGTAGAATTTTTTAAACTTTGCATGAGTGTTGCTAAAGTATTAATTTTAAAAATGAGACTATTCTATGACTAATTTTACCAGTTGAATAAAAATTCATGAAGTGGCCCCCTCCTATTTTCACAAAGTTGCAAAACTTAAAATAAGTTATTGTATTTTTAAGTACTAATAACTGGTAATATGCTCACGAACTATTTTGTACATTTTTAAATTATTCATAATATTTTTTCTTACTTAAAAGTTTTTGAACCTCTTTATCAAAATTATTATAACTGAGTCTTTGCTCAAATTAAACAAAACTTTATGTAATGATAATTTAAAAAAATTTGTTTTTGTGTGATGTTATATTTTATAAATAGTGAACAATAGTGAATTTTTTAATTAATTAATTTGCTGGTGTGTATTATCAGTTATTTCGACGATTGTCAATTTCTCGTTATAAGTAGTTTAATGATAAGTGTTGATTATGATTAATCTAATATAATATTCATACTATTTTATTATTGTTTTTCATAACTATATATAGGGTAAATGCACTAGTAGTCGGACACTTAAGGATACAATCTTAAATTATGCTTTTTTTCTTGAAATAACAAATATCTACTGTGTTTATAAGCACATTATTAATTAAAGGAGTTCTTCAGGATTAAAAATCATATAAATTTGTTACAAATAGTTGAGTATTTAATAAAATATAAACATTTTAATAAAAAATTACGAATGCTTTAGTAGTCGGACACTTTTTCCTCTTGTTTCTATAGTCGGACATCTGTCAGATATTTTGAATTTATAAAGTAAAAAAGATAATTTTTTAATTGCTATCTGCTGGAAAATGGAATTAAAGCATATTAGAAGTTATTAATATAATATTTAAACCCTATACGTTTTAATATTTATGATTAATTATCAACAAAACTTTGTGCCACTCATCGCGCTACTCGAAAATGGTTGTATCTATAGTCGGACACCATGATTTTTAAAACATTAAATAAAATATTTCTTGTTTAATTATTTTCGAAAATACCACTATTTTCATAAAATATAAACTTCACACATTCGTCTAGTATACTTTTTAAAGTAATTATCACAATGCATTATTACTTATTTGCCAAAAAACACGAAAGTGTCCGACTACTAGTACTGTCCGACTATACCCGCACTTACCCTATATCTCTATAATCTACAATTATTGCTTAAAATTTTATTATCAATTTTTTTTTTTAAATTTCGGATGAAAAATTAACATTTTCCCAAAATTTTTTGATAAAATTATCGCAAATCTTATATATTTTTCCTAAAATTTTATGAGTATTTCTACACATAAATTTGAGCAAAATTAAAAAAAACTTGTTTAATTTTACCTAAAAATTGTTGGGTATTTTTTCCAAAACTTTTGTAAAAGATACTAAAAAGTTTGTATTTTTACCACAAATGCTTGGTGTAAATTACTTCTAAAACATTTTTGGTAAAATTACCCCAAAAATTTTTTACAGTGCGTCTGATAATCTACACTGGATTATAACGTGCTATCTGGTATGTATTTACGTTAATTATTTTGGTTAATTATACATTTACAGTTTGTACAATAGTTTTTAATATTTTAAGTACCTATATATAGTTTTAGCCCCAAAATAAAGGATACACATCAGCTGACGATATTGAATCGTTGACAACTTGTTTTGAAGGAGATTTTTCTCTATTGCGCTCAGTTCTTTCCAATTGTTGAATGCCATTAAGTGTAAGATCAATATTTCCAAATTTTGAAATACTGAATGCTACCCACATTTCCACGATTTGTTCCTCATCCTTACTGAATTCATGACATAATTCTATACCTACAAAGATTATTATTAAATTTATTAAGGATAAATTAAAAAAATTAATCTGTACAAGGCTGATAAAAATCATAATTTAAAAAAAAAATCAAAACAATCCGATTTTTTTTTATTTAAATCGGATTTTTTCGATTTAAATCATTTTTTTTATACCTACTATTTTTAAAATTTTTTTAAAAATATTTTAAGTAGTTCGTTTTTTTAATATTAAAAATTATGAAATCAATAATAATAGGGTGGCTGCAAAATTTCATTTTCCGAATTTTCTGACATTTCCTGACTAATTTCTCAGTTTCCCTGATTAATAAATTTTTAAATTATTTAATATTCTGCATTGATAATTAAAAATCAAATAATGCTTTTTAAGTAACAATTTTATTTATAATCAAAAACATAAGATAATTAAAAATTGTTTGTTAAACAAAATTTTAATGTGTTTAAAACTTTTATTATAAAAAAGTAAATGCAAATTAAAGTTTTTTAATTTGTGGTTGCTTTCGATTAAAATTCCCAGATTTTTGAAGAATTTTTAAAAAATTTCCTGACTTTTCGCAGACTAAAAAAATTCTCTGATTTCCAGTTTTTCCCTAATTTGAGTCAAATAAACAAAACTTTAAAAAAAAAAAATTCAAAACTTTTACAGCCTTTTCGGTTCCTAATGCATTTTGCACTTTGATTTAAATCATGATTTAAATGACAAGATTTAAGTCATGATTTAAATCAAGTTGATTTAAATCATTGCAGCCCTGAATCTGTAAAAGAAATAACAGTTTTTATTTTAATAAATTGTTCATAAAATTATTAATTCCTAAAAAAATCATTTTGTTAGAAAATAATAAAATTTTATTGTCCATAAAATAAGAAACCGCCGAGAACAGCACAAATATACGGAGAGCTGGCTACGAAAATTGACAATGATAAGGTACAAGAAAAGTTTTAAGAATAAAAATTAGGCTACTTTTCATTTAATCTGATTGTAAGATGTAAACGGTTTCAGACATTGTTTTTTATACTCTTATTTAGTTAAGATTTTAGCTCAAAAAAAATTTGTTCTTGTAAGACATGAATATAGAATTTCATAAGTTCTACAATGCTTTTAAATAAAATCAAATTAATATATAGTAATAATTGAAAATTTAGCTAAATCTAAAAATTTCTCTTAATGTACAGTTTCAATGCGATTAAAAATTATAATAATGGTAAAGAGATTTAGTTATTTTTTGATACATTAAAAAAATTTAATTATAAAATAAAATTTATAACCTTTAAATTCTTCAACGAAATTTCCCAAATTCCATTTGTGTAATAAATGTATTACTTTTGTAACCATCGTTTGAATTAATAAATATAAAATTCACTTTTTACAAAATTTGGTGAAGAATTTACTTGATAAATTTGTTACTAAACTATATTTTTAAAAAAATAAAAATTTATAGGTTACAAAAAGTTATAAATTTTAAAAAGTCGAAAAATATTTTAAGAAATCTATTGTAAAATTACTATACAAAAATTGCTGTAGATTTAGTTTTTATTGATAATTTTATGTAAATCTATAATATTATGTTCTTAAAAGCAAAGAATTTTAACTAAATAATTACTAATAATTGATTTATAAGTTAATTTATTATAACTTATTAGTTAATTTATTACTACAAAAAGTAGCAGTTACAACAATTTGTAAATTTACAACTTTTAAAATAAGTAATAAATAAACCTTTTTATTATCTATATTTTAAGTTGTAAATTTGCAAACATTTGTCAAGTTTTTCCACTTTGAGAGTATTAAATTTGCAAGAATGTAAACCAACAGAAATTTCTTTTACATAGATTCATAAATAAAGTTGCTTGGTAGTAATTTCATTTTAGGTTAAGATTATTATTTTTTTTTTGTTTATTATTAAAAATTGATACAACAAACAAGTTATAAGAATTCAAAAAATTATTATTACATATATATTCAAATAAAGAAAAAATTATGGAAATATTAAGTATTTTATATCTTAGATTGTAGCTAAATAAATAAATTTTCTTAAAACTAAAAACAATATAATTTTATTAAAAACTTACATTTTTTGAGAGCTTCATCACTTTCTATATTACATCCCACAATTTCAAATTGTTCTTTTAATGTTCCTTCTGTTATCATTGTTCTTTCTTTATTTTAACAAATATAAAAACAACTTTTTTCCTTCCTCTGTAATTGACTTATTTCATTATAAACTGTCAACAACTGCGCATACATTTACATTACTTCCTTCCCGCCAAAACAAGTAAAGGTGCATAAACACCTCTGTTCGCAGAGAAAAAATTTAAGGCCTTTCTTCAATAGGATCCCAAGCAGGAATGCGCATGTAAAGGAGCGTTCACACGACTTTTGGAAAAACTTTTCTGCTCAAGGTTCACGAAAGTCGCTCGCGAACGCGATCTATGAGATAGAAAAGGACAGATATATATTTGAGTCCGTTTCTAAACCATGCTTTGCGTTCCCAAATGACGTTCGTGAACGCAATGAATGACTTAGAAAAGGATAGAGATATATTTGTGTCCATTTCCATCTCATACGTCTTGTTCGTGAACGACTTTCGCCGCAAATCTATTGTGCGTTGGACTTTAGGCCTTCAGTCGATGCGCTTGACCAAAACGGAAGTATAAAGCACCTTAAGGTTGAGTGTGGATTCAGCATAAGACATTAGCCTACGCTCTTTTACAATGTGCGCATTCCTATTCTATGTGTAATATATATTCCATGGTCCTTTTCTCAGCCATTTTGCTTGGTTGTAGACGATAATTTTAGTTTCATCTAAAAAAATATAAAGTTTAGAAGGTATGGATTTCTATTTTATATATTTTTTGTAGATTTGTAAAAATACTTTTTTTCTAGTATTTGATTTATTTCATTATTGAGATCTTATAAGTTAACTGTATTTGGTTTTTTAACTATTAGTGCACTACATAATTGTGACAAACACGTGGCTTTGGTGCTGTTTATTGTTCATATGTTAGTAAATTACGTTAGTTTTATAGTGGATACATGTTATAGTGCACTATAACATTATTTAATAATTATTTAATAAATATTGCGAATTAATAGATTACCTAATATAATATTTATTTTGTGGTGTTGACTAAGTAAATTCTTTTATAGCTGTAAGTGTTAGTTTGCTGTGAACACTTAAAATGTGATTTTTTGTTAAATGATTTATTTTATTATGCATTGCAAGTTTACATGGTCAATTGTTATTTTAGATAGATGAAAGTTTGTCATTTTTATTAAACATATAAAATCATTAAAATTCCCATTTTTAATATTATAAAATTTACAACATATTAATAAATTAAAAATTTGTTATTTTACTTTCTGCACATAATTTAATGCTAAAGCTTTTTGATCGGTACATTTTAAAAGTTAATAATTTATCTTTAATTATTTACTATTTAAAAAAATAAATCTTATTTAAAGAAGAATCTGACAAACAATTGGAACAAAAGTTAGTCCAATGTCAAAATTTCGTAGTTAAAAAAAAAGGGTGACATTAAATTTTAAATTCCTTTTTGGTAGAAGCGTAAGAAATTTAATTTTCTACATTTTGAACAATTTAAGGTTATATTTGAATAAAAATTGTAATTTTTTGTCTAATAAATTATTTAAGTAACATAACCTAAAATTTAAAAAATGTTTCTTATGGACAAAATTGTAATTTTTGTACAAATGCAACTTTAAATCGTTTTAAATGTACAAAATTAAATTCTTCGCACTTCCACCAAAATGAATTTAAAATTTAATTTGCCTTTTTCTTTTAAATTACAAAATTACGACATTGGACTAACTTTGGTTTTGACTGTACTTCAGATTAAGCTTTTAATGCATTTTATTCTTCAATCTAAGAGTGTTAATTATTTATAAAAAACATTTTTCTTAAATTTAAATATTCAATCATTCTATTAAAATTATTGTTCTCATTTTTAGATGCCTTCCGTTACTTTGAAAGACGTCGATCAACATGAGTTTGTCAAAACATTTGCCAGCTTTTTGAAAAAGTAAGTAATTAATGTTGAAAATTGTTATTTGTATATTAATGTGTGTGTGACATTTGCTCAAATTCATTTTTTAAATATATCTTGGAATAATTAATCGACGCCTCCCGTTCATATAATGCTTATTGAAAAGTTGATTTAATATTCATGATTCTTTGGAATATAATTCCAGGCATCACAATCCCTTTTTTCAATTTTTTCACCTTTTTCTAATTAAAAATAAGAAGTTTTTCTTTTTTTTTAAATACATTTCCAAGTGTTATCATAAAATTTAGACTCAATATTTTTAGAATTAAGTGTGGTTTATTTCTTATTTCGATTATTAATACCAGAACATAATATAAATATATTTTTTACTGTTTGGCATTTAAATAATATAATAACGTATAAAATTTTATAAATATTAAGGTGATTCATGCAACAGAATGCAGTGCTCTATAGAAAAGTAGTAAAGTCAGGGAAATATCAGGAAAAAAAATTTTTGTTAGGGAAATTAAGAAAATTGAGATTTTTTTTCGACTTATTTTCAAAAATTGCGACTTTTTTTACTTTCTCCAAAATATTGTCAATAAAATATATTTTTTTAGTATTAAAATGTAACTCGTTTCGATTTTCATAGTGCGAAAAATAACTAGGTACACAAATCTGTCAAAAATTATTTTTGAAATCGTTTTTCTATTTAAATTTCCGAATTATACATTTAAAGGATTTTGTAAAATTTAATTGAAAATAATTAATTTTTTTCAAGTATTTTGTTCGAATTTTTGAAAATCAACTTTTGCAGAATTTTAATTGCAAATTTCTAAAATAATTGAATTATCAAAAATTTTAATGAAAAACCTTTAAACGTAAATTTAAAAATGAAAATTAACTTCTAATTTTTTAAAATTTAGTATTTTCAGTACTTTCAATTACAATATATATATTTACTTGATTAGAGAAAAGGCAATTTTCACATACTTATCCGACCCTTAATAATTATAATGTTTTGATATTAATTTTTAATTCTTTTTCAGGACTGGAAAAGTAAAGTGCCCGGAATGGGTTGATATTGTTAAATCAGCACGCTTTAAGGAATTGGCACCATATGATCAAGACTGGTTCTACATTCGGTGTGCTGCTGTAGTACGTCACATTTATATTCGCAGCCCAATTGGTGTAGGTGCTGTGACAAAGATTTTTGGAGGACGTAAGCGCAATGGAACACACCCGAGTCATTTCTGTCGATCGGCTGGAGGAGTTGCCAGGAAAGTTTTACAAACTTTAGAGTCACTTAAATTAATTGAAAAATCAACATCAGGTGGCCGTGTACTAACCAGTGCAGGTCGTAGAGATCTTGACCGTATTGCTGCACAAATTAAAGCCAAAAGTAAGAAGCAAATGAAGTTGCAAGAAACACTTGTTTTATAAGTTGTATTTTTACAATAAATACATTTAAAAAATTTATGTTTTTTTAGTTTATCTTTAGAATTAGTTTGTTATTTTTTTCGTATAAAATTATAGTTCAATGTGATATATATAACCGGAAATCCAGGAAAGTTGTTTTCTAAAGTTATTGTGTTTATTCTTGAAATTTATTTATTTATAATATTTCAAAATTAATGCAATTTTAAAACAATTGCGTTTACAATTTTTATAAGTAGATGAACTTCAAAAGGTTTTAATTTGAAATTTTATAAAATTTTAATTTTGAATGAATTTAATTAGAAATTTTATTTAAAAATCCTAGAATTTAAAAAAAGTTTAATAACTAAAATTCCTCTGAAATTAGTTAAATTTTTTAATATTTATTTAATTTATTATTAAAAATGATGGATTTATAGAACAATTTTATTTAAAAACACTAAAACAAATTTAATTTTGAAGCAATTACAAATGATTGCAGAAATTTAATTATTTTCAAAAGTAGTAAAATTATTCTTCTCAGAAATTCAATTATTTTAATAAAAACATAATAAAACTCATCGTAGACAATTATTTTTAATACAATTTTAATAGAATTCCTCGAAAAATATAATTATTCTTAAAAATTTTATTAAAATTTATCAAAGAAATTCAATTATTTTTAAAACCTTTGCAACAATTTATCTATTAGAATTTAAGTACTATTTTCAATACATTTTTAATTAAATTTCTTCAAATAATTCAATTATTTATAAAAATTTTAATGAAATTCTTTGTCACAATTTAATTTTTTTCAAAATAATTTGAATAAAATTCTTCTTACAAATTTAATTAATTTCGAAAATTTGTTAAAATTCAATTATTTTCAATGTTTAATATTTCAATAAAATTTCACAAAAGAATTCAATTATTTAAAAAGAAATTTTAATAAAATTTGTCTCAAGAATTCAATAATTTTCAAAAGTAATAATAATTCTAATTCTTCGCAAAAAACCAATTATGTTTAAAAATTGAAAAAGTTTAAAATTTTAAAAGTTCAAAATTATCTTTATAAATAATATAATTTTTCTCCGAAATTCAATTATTTTCAATAATTTTAATAACATTCTTGGCAGAATTTCAATTATTTTTAATACAATTTTAACTAAACTGATAAAAAATTGCAATTATTCTTTAAAATTTTATTAACTCAAGAATTCAATTATTTAAAAATTTGATAAAATTCTTTATGAAAATTCAATTTTAAGAAACATTCAATTATTTAATGAAATATTTATTTTTGTAATTAAATAATTGAATTTTCTAATAAATATTAATTTAAAAATGAATTTCAGTTAAAATTTTAGATAATAATTCAATAATGAAAGCATTATAGCGTGGATTTAGAGAAATAATTGAATTTTTAAAAGGTTTCAAATTAAAATCTTTGAAAATTTGAACTTTTCATACTTTTAATTAAGAAGAATTCTGTAGAATTATTTTTTTTCAAAAAGTTTAATGGAATTTTTTTTTAATTTTTCGAAGTTTTTAATTTCTAATATATTTAATTGAAGAATGTCAGAATAATCGAAATTTCGGAAAAGAAAATTGTTATTGATGTTTTCGAATAATTTTCGTTTTAAAAATCTGGAAAAATTCCGTTTTTTAACCTGGAAAACCTGGAAAAGTCAGGGAATTTGAAAAAAGCAAAAGCGTAACAACCCTGCATAAAAGTACCTACATTTGCAAGTACTCATTATTAAGCAGTAATGGATTCTGATTTCTAAATAAGTAATTGCAAACTTATTATAAAAATATAATTAAAATGTGGTGACTTTTAACATTTCATAGGTAAGTTTTAAAATTAATTTGTACCTACTATTTTTGGGCATTTTAACATAGTAATCTATTAATATTAATAAATTAGACTATTTTGAACAAATATCAATAAAAAAATGTTCTATGGCTGTTTCTATTTCAACTCATGCAGGACAAATAGGTTAAAAATTCTAAATCAAGTTTAGTATAATTTTTCTTGTTCTTTAGGACAACTAAAGAGAAACGTATTTTTTTATTTGTTGAAGAAAAAATTTTGGCTGAATTATGCAAACTTCAAAATTTTAGGACAAATCGTGATTTTAAGGCTAAACAGCTAACAAATTATTTTCAAATCTTTCTAGTTTTTACGAAAATAGAAATTTTTCAATTTTCTAATTTAATTTTAGTAGTGTTTTTAATGCTTTTTCTTCAAAAAATTGAAAATTTTTGAAAATTAACAAAATGGCGGCCATTTTTTGAAAAATCAAAAAACATTATTTTCTAAAAAACATTTTTTATTATTTTGAAAATTTTTTTGTGATTACTAGATGAAAAAAGAAACTTTTTCTTAAAGGTTTGATGTCTTCTAAAGTATTTTGTTTGTCGCTATAATTTTTTTCCCTGTTGCTACACGGAGAGAAAGTTATATTAAATTTTGTAAAAGAATTTCTCAATTTGGGGAAAAAGTGCCACAAACCGAAATTTTAACATAGAAAATACTAAATAGTGCAAGAAATAATATGAAATTTAGTAAAGTTATATCAAATACAAAAATTTTAGTTAAATTTTAATATAACTTTACTAAATTTGATATTATTTCTTTCACTATTTAGTATTTTCTATGTCAAAATTTCGGTTTGTGGCACTTTTTCCCCAAATTGTAAAATAATTTTACAAAATTTAATATATATTTTCTCTCCGTGTAGAGTCTTGGAATGATCACCACATTGCCAATATTGGATCGTTATTGGCTGCCAAGGCAAATGCCAATGTTTTAAAAATAGATACCAATAACTTGAAAAAATTTGTCAAAAAGTAAATTAAATTACAAGTTAAAAAAAGACAAGTAATTAAATTGTTTCTAACACTCTATTAAAAACATCATACCTATACTTGAAAAAGTTCTTTTTCTCATCTAGTAACAAAAAAAAAAATTTCCAAAAAATGAAGAACATGTTTTCCATTTTTTTTAAATGGCCGCCATTTTGATAATTTTCAAAAATTATCAAATTTGCAATATTGCAAATTTTAGTTGTGGCCACTTTAAGAAATTCCTTATTTTTTAGGACATCTTTTCTTATGTTAATTAAAAAATTAGTTATTTACACTTGTTAATCAATTATCATTCTTAGTTTCTGAATTTCTTGTTTTTAAAGGTTAAAGAAATATTAATAATATAATAAATTAATAAATATATGGAGTAAAATTCCTCAACTGTCCAGGTCAAAAAATGAATTTTCTCAAAACTTTGCCAAAATGTTAATATTATTAGTAGAAGTGTAAATACGAATTATTATTCAGTGTTGCTACGGTTAGGGAAAACCTGGAAAAATCAGGAAATTTTATAAAATATTGATTCAAAAATTAATTTGCCATATTTGTATCGCATAAATCTGAAGTAACCAATACGATTTGCTAAAGCAGTTCAGTGTTTCTATAAGTCATGGAAAATCTGTAAATTTATTTTATTTTTTTGATATACTTCTTGCATGTTTCTTGTATCCGGTCGTATGAAATCTCCCAAAAATCAAATCGATCGAATATCCATTACATCGAATTTCAAAACATCGAATGCTCAATACATCGAATTTTCAAAACATCGAATGCTCAATATATCGAATTTTCAAAACGTCGATTGCTCAACACATCGAATTTTCAAAACTTCGAATGTTCATTAGATCGAATTTTTAAAACATCGAATGTTAAATTGATCGAATTTTTAAAACATCGAATGTTAAATTGATCGAATTTTCAAAACTTCGAATGCACATTACATCGAATTTTTAAAACGTCGAATGCTCATTTCATCGAATTTTCAAATCTTCGAATGTTCATTTGATCGAATTTTCAAATCTTCGAATGTTCATTTGATCGAATTTTCAAAACGTCGAATGCTCATTTCATCGAATTTTCAAATCTTCGAATGTTCATTTGATCGAATTTTCAAATCTTCGAATGTTCATTTGATCGAATTTTCAAAACGTCGAATGCTCATTTCATCGAATTTTCAAAACGTCGAATGCTCATTTCATCGAATTTTTAAATCATCGATTGTTAATTTGATCGAATTTTTAAAACGTCGAATGTTAATTTTATCGAATTTTCAAAACTTCGAATGCTCATTTCATCGAATTTTCAAAACTTCGAATGCTCATTACATCGAATTTTTAAATCATCGAATGTTAATTTGATCGAATTTTCAAAAAGTCGAATGCTCAGTTCATCGAATTTTTAAAACATCGAATGCTCATTTCATCGAATTTTCAAAACTTCGAATGTTGATTTGATCGAATTTTCAAAACTTCGAATGCTTATTACATCGAATTTTCAAAACTCCGAATGCTTATTACATCGAATTTTCAAAACGTCGAATGCTCATTAGATCGAATTTTCAAAACTTCGAATGCTTATTTCATCGAATTTTCAAAACGTCGAATGCTCATTTCATCGAATTTTTAAATCATCGATTGTTAATTTGATCGAATTTTTAAAACGTCGAATGTTAATTTGATCGAATTTTCAAAACGTCGAATGCTCAGTTCATCGAATTTTTAAAACATCGAATGCTCATTAGATCGAATTTTCAAAACTTCGAATGCTTATTTTATCGAATTTTCAAAACGTCGAATGCTCATTTCGTCGAATATCCAAAACTTCGAATGCTCATTTCATCGAATTTCCAAAACTTCGAATGCTCATTTCATCGAATTTTTAAAACATCGAATGCTTATTACATCGAATTTTAAAAACTTCGAATGCTCAATACATCGAATTTTTAAAACATCGAATGATAATTTGATCGAAATTTCAAAACGTCGAATGCTCATTACATCGAATTTTCAAAACATCGAATGCTCATTTCATCGAATTTTCAAAACGTCGAATGCTCATTAGATCGAATTTTCAAAACTTTGAATGTTCATTTGATCGAATTTTCAAATCTTCGAATGTTCATTTGATCGAATTTTCAAAACGTCGAATGCTCATTTCATCGAATTTTCAAAACTTCGAATGTTCATTAGATC